TATATATATATACATATATATATATATATATAAATTAAATTTTAGATGTTGGAAATATAAAATCATAAGATTTAAGTGTTACATATAAATCCTTAAAAATAAATAAATAACTGATGTGTTGATAATTTTGCATTTGACGTTATTCGTATTTTTGAATTTTATATGATGATATTGTATTTTGAGGAAGGTTTTTGTTGTTTTTGCTAGAGATAACAAGAAAAGAGAACATCAGAAATTGAATTGGAACGAATGGAAGATTGGAGCAAAATTTGGCAATTCGGCGACTAGGCTCCTGACCACTAGCACCTATGCGTCGGAACCCTCTCAAATTGAGCAACAAACCTGTGAAGTCAAAACGTTGGCACTGCTCCTAGGCTGTCAAGGCACTAGTCTCTTATGTAAAAGTTCTTAAGTAAGTGACACCTAAGCACCGTGACACCGGTGCTTATGCACTAGATGTGGGGCTTCCAAACCGAGAGCTTGGCACCTATGCGACAACCACGGTGTGCATAGACACCTGAAACTGAAATTAGTAGTTGGAGCATTTTCGACTTCGAGATAAAAGGGGAGGAAACATAAAAGCCGTGAAGACAAATTTTTAGGGGCTTTTTCATCTATTCTCTTCTTTCCTTATAGAAGGAGAAATTTATGGACGAGAAGACCAAGCATCTAGTGAGAATATTAAAAGGTTTAAAGCAAGATCAAAGAGATTTTGTGAGATTGAGTGTGTTTGTAATTCATTTACATTTGTTGAACTTAAGGGAGATGAGTGTTCCTAGATTTTGTTTGATCCTCTTTAAGAGACAATTGTGAGAATCTTGTATAAGAGTTCTACTCTTAATTCAATGTTGATTTTGATGGAATTTGGCATGCTTAGTGAGTAGATTTTCTATTCTTCTTTGTTGTAAAAGTGTAGGGATAAGGCCAAGGTAATATGGTGCGAATTTTCTATGAAATTTTTAAATGGTGTTTGAATAAATTAGGAACTCGTAAACTTTTAACTTGGTCACTAAAATCATTAAAATTAGTCGTGATTATAGAAATTTGGGAGGAAGCTATAAGGAACAATTAAATTATTCACACGACCTCATTGGAATAGGAATATCTCCTTCGAATTCGTGAAAATTGATTAGGGATCAACGTTGGATTGGACTTTTCATTTGATTTAGGGAACTAAATGAATGAATCATTAATCTTTCTTAGACTATCTAAAGGAGATAAGTAAGACTTTTATTTTTTTTCCTGGTTTTCACTTACAATGAATCATTTGCTAAGTTGAATCTCTACATAACCATTTCAAAGGAAAATTCTTGGGACATATCTTAATCAACATTAATTTCTTTTTAACTGTTTTAAAACTTAGGTTTTGGTCATTTTCAAATAGTACAGTAAAAAAAATTATTAAATTTCAAAACTTTAACCTTTCAGGCTAGGACTGACAATTGTAGGCTAAAAGTTTTTTTAATTGAGTTTATCTCATTCCCTATATGATCGACAACCAAACTCAAACCCCAATACTATTGATATGTCATGTATAATTGTGTAAGTCGCTCATGCTTCGCAACACTTGGAGCATTTCAATAACTAAAAATAAAAAGATTTCTGTTCAATTTGAATAAATCTCATGGCCCATATAATTTTACTTCAGAATTGCTTAAAGATGTTTGGGGAACTGTTGGATTAAATTACATTTCATCTATTAATTATTTTTTCATTACTTCTTAAACTTCCTAATGGTGTTAAGCACTCTTTTATTATGTTTATTCCAAAGAGTTCTAATGTTAATTCATTCTATAATTGTTGTCCTATTTCTTTATGTAATACTTTTTATAAAGTCATTTCCATTCCGTTGGCTAATAGATTGAAGGTTATTCTCTCTAAAATTATTCATCATTATCAAGTTGCTTTTATAACTGGATGTGATATTGTAGACAATATCAGTTTAGCTAATGAGTTTCTGTATGGTTTTGACCCCTCAAATAATGTTAAGAAATTATGTGCTAAAATTGACATCTTTAAAGCTTTTGATAAAGTCAATAGAGACTTTGTGGTTTTGAGATTGCATAAGATTCGTATACCTAATAAGTTTATTAATTGAATTTATGCTTGCATTTCAAATATTCATTTATCAGTTATTATTAATAATGATCATAAGAGATATTTCTCTTCATCTTCATGATTAAGATAAGGTTGTCGTCTTTCACCTTATTTTTTTGCTATTGTTATGGATTCTCTTTATATCATATTGGATAAACAAGTGGATGATATGGGTAATGCTATCTTTAGTAAGCATTTAATTTATGCTGGTGATTTACTTATTTTTAGTAAGACCGACTCTATACATAGTAGTTTTTCTTAATACTTTTAATAATTTCTCTAAAGCTTCTAATCTTCAAATAAATTTTATTAAATATACTATTGCTTTTTCTAAAAGTGTTGATAACATTTACAACAACAAAGCTATCTGGGTGTCAATATGAAACCTTCTAAATTAGTTATTAATGATTGTCATTCTCTTGTTGAAAAAGATTTTTTTTCTGATTGGTTTGTTGGAAGAGGGGTCATCTTCAATTGGTTAAATGTATTATATGGAGTTATCTTTACTACTGGATTCGATTTTCTTTTATACTTAAGGCTTTAAGAGAAAATGTTTCTCCTTTAATTTCTAAATTCCTTCTTAATAATGATGAATAGTAATAAACTTCATACTATTTTATGGAATAATATTACTCTTCCTAAACATTTGGGTGATTTATGCCTTTGGATAATATTAATGTTATGTGTAAAATTAAAATTATTCGGAAGTATTATAATTATCCTTCTTATTTGAGAAATTGACTTTTTTAACCATTACGACTATTTATGGCAGAAATTCAATAATCATTCTTCTCATTTTTGAAAAGAACGTATTCGTGTCTTCTAAATTCAGATCTTATTTTAATTTTAATGTTACTAATGATTCTTATCTTTTATTTTATTTTGACCCATGGTTGGATGGTAAATCCCTTGTGGAAGTTTATGGTAATTTGGTTTTCGGTTGGTTTAATATTCCTATTAATTCCAAGCTTAAAGATATTGTTTATGATAATGCTTGGAATTTACCTTTTAATCACAAGTACATTCTATTTGTATTGATTCTATTAAAAAAATTCCTATTACAAACGGTATTAGTTGTTCTTGAACAAAATGGATTGCTTTATTCTCATAAAGATGTTTATCATGCTATTTATAATTTTCATTCTTCTGTTAGATGGTATAAGTTAGTGTGGTTTAAGGGGTTATATTTAAAATTTTCTCTTCATACTTAGAAGGTTGTAATAAAAGGCTTTAAGAGTTTGGATATTCTTTCTTCTAAAGGTTTCCAATTTAATGCTAGTCATGTTTTATGTAATTATAGCCTTAAGTCTCATAATCACCTCTTTTTTTTAATGTCCTAATTCTCATTCATTATTGAACAATGTTTAATAAATGGTAATTTTTTCTCTGTCCTTTCTAATATATTTCAAATTCTTTATTATGTTGATTATTTCTCTAGTAAAATTTCTAAAGGATTTCACTCACTATCTTTACAAGTCGTTGCTTTTGTGATTTTGATTGAAATAAATTCTAGGATTTTAAAAATATTTATTAATCGATTGATTTTAATATTATTTACATTCATTGGTTAATTCGTTATACGTCTTCCTGATTCAATTATTGATTTTTATCTGTTATAAGTTTTAATTTATTTTCTTGGATTTGAATTGATTTTTCATGTTAGATTTGTTGATGCTTTTTTTATTTTGATGATACTATTTTCCTTTTTCTTTACTATTGATTTTCTTTTTTAGTTCTTTTCCATATTATATAAATATGGATGAAAATTTGGTTTTCAACCATTTATATTAAGGGTAGGCTATTTTATTTTGTTTTTTATTCTGGTTTCTTCTTATAATTTCAGATACTCAATTTGATGTTTTCTTTTGGCCTTATTTCCAGGTTTAAGCTATGATGTGCCTATTCATACTATGATAACTTGCCATTCTTTAGAGACCACATTATACTATAATCCTTTCACTTAAATTTGGATGAAAACTTATTTTTCAACCATTTAATTTCTAAAGTTTTATGCTATTATAGTATTAGTTTAGTTTCATGTTGGAGTTTCTTAGTCTTGATATGGGTTAGGATGAGCTAATTTTTATTTTTATTTCACACTTTAACTAACATTTCTTCATTTGTATACCACAACTACTCCAATATTCATCACATCAACATTCAGGGACTTAGGATCGTTGTGTGGATTTTTTGCATGATGGTTGAGGATCGACTTTCTACTGTTTTGGAATTGATGGTTATTGTTATATCAAAATAGTTTGGTTTGGTAATGCTGGATCAATAGTATATTTCTAATTATTGTTGATGATTTGGAGATTGGAGATGATTGCCATTCCATGTTTCTTTTCAACAATGCATTAATTTGCTGCTTATCTCTCTTTCTCTAAGACTCTTTGATGAGGTTTATTTTGATGATATTTTTGGAGTTCGGTCATGATTTTTTGATCCATAAAAGATTTTTAGTTTACTGTTACTGTTTTGATGTTTGTTGTTATTTGATTGTTGTATTGTCTGTTTTTGTTTTATTTTTATTGATGTAATTTTTTTTTTAATTTTTGCTGTTTTTTATTGATTTTAATAAATGCGAGTTAGCCCTTACTTTTCTCCAAAAAAAAAAAAAAAAAAAAAAAATCTTTGTTTGGTTAGATAAATTTTTGTTGCCCAAATCTCGGAGACAGAGCACTGCCATGGACGAGGGAGCGCCCAAGCTCGGAATCAATGAGTCATGCAGGGAGGGCATATCGGCGCTATCCGTTTCTGCATCGTTGCCGTCTTCCACCTGCGAATCCTTGGAGAACAAATCTGATTCAGCTGCCATCCCGTCGGCTAGGTTTCCCGCTCGAAACGCCTCTTCAAAATACGATTTTGTCAAGGTTGGCTACTTTGTTAGCTTTAGTTCGCAAGTTATTGAAAGAACAAGCTTTATTCTAAGCCGATTAATTGTTTCCTTCTTGTTTTTCTTCTGCAAGTTAGGTCAAAGTGTGGTTGGGGGACAATGCTGATCACTATTATGTTCTCTCCAGATTTCTTCTCAGCAGGATGCTGACCGTCACAAAGGTTGAATTTTGCACAATAGAACTCTTTTTTTATTCAATCTCATGTACTTTTCTTTCTTATGACAATCAGCAATCCTGCACTTTATCTGGCTGGAGGTTGTGTTTGATTCTTCATACGAGCCTTTCAAATGATGTTTATGCTTGAAGTTGGTAGTTGCTACTGGTTCTTTGTTTGTTTAGAACTGAAGTTTGGTTTTAGTTTCTTGTTTAGAACTGAATTTTTGTTTAGTTTCCATTTCCCTGCTAGCTTGCTGATGGGTGAAGCAGAGCTCCACTCCCTTTGATCTGTACGGATCAGTATTTGGACTCATAGTTGCTAATTTTTTTTTTAATGTAGTTTCCATTTGGCTGTTTAATTTTAGGGTAAGAAAGGCGGCTAGCTGGTTCATCTGATTGAAATAGAAGGCTTTTAGTAATTGATCTTGGGCCTATCAGTCTCCTTCTAAAGTTTGGCTCAAATCCATCCTCTCTGATCTAGAGCCCATAGTCTTAATTTTAGGCTGGTTTGATCTAATGTCGATTTTAAGACTGATACAATTTTTAACCTTCTAATCCAGTTTTTATTCAATAATACTTGCAAGCATCAACACGAATAGTTACACACATATATAATTGCATAAACGTGCGAGTACATACTTGAAAACACATGTATACTTAATTTATAGATGGATGCATAGTCTTATCAATCAGATTCAAGCTAGTTAAATTCGGTATGGGCATGGTTCTGTTTAAATCAGATTAAAGTTTTGCGTTAATCGGCTTGTTGATTTCAATCCAAGCTTGATCCTCTGCAAAAAATAGATCCATTTTTTTAAGCAATTCTTCAATCTTCTAGTCAATTTTTAGATCCATGAAATGGAGTGTTACTTTTATTGCCTTGATTTATGCAGATTGATCTATGCTACCAGTGCAAGCTCACTCATGCTATTTTTTTTAATCAATGTTTTTGTTGGTAATTAATAGCTACTTTCTAGAATGGTACAGTGATTTTAGCATTTTCCTTTTTTTATACTTATTTTAATCGGGAATATAGTAGATATGGTGAACTTCTAAATGTCTAGTAATTTTTTTTCTCGGGGCTGGGCGAACTCTTGAAATCGGCCCTCTTTGAAAGTCTTATCTCAAATGTAATAATAATTATCAATATCAGTTTTTTTAACCAATATGCCCCAACTGTCGGGTTCTAATACACATCACATATTAAACCAATTTTCTGCATTAAACATTCTAGATTGTGATGGTTCACTGGAGCTCTATAATATTTTTTTTATGTGATCTCTGATTTTCATCACTAATTGCCTAAGATTTTTTTGATTGATAATTTTATAGATATTTTTAATTCATTGTTTTTAGAAGTCATTAATTCTAATACCATTTTACAGATCCCCAATCATGTTGCTATCAAAATTGCTCTTGAACTGAAGAAGCTTCTCATAGACAACAGCCTGCTTGATGTGTATGTTTTCTCAAATCTTGTTTATTTAATCTCTTTGTTAAACTTAGTATCTATGGAATTTTGAATACCATAGCTATGCCCCTAAATCCTTATTATGAATGCTCTATATGTAAGATGATTAAAGTGGTTCCTGAGTTTGTAAAGTACTAAATTATGATTAATCTTTGTAACATACTACAATGTTATAAGGAACTTTAGTTGTCAATGTAGAAGATTTATTTATTTGTATATGAAGACTGGAGTAGCCTTTGAGAGAATATGTAGAAGAAGTTTCTAAAATTCTAATTGAGTTGTATTTGAAGTATCACATTTTAGACGAAATGATATGAAAAGGATAAATATTTATGGTGCACAAAACACACACACACACTCTGTCTTTGTTTCGTTGCATTCATCTTCCTCCATTTACTGCCCCTTTTATCCCAAGTTTCTCTTTTTCCGCATATATCCATCCAATTCTTTTCCTCCCTCTTTGTCTTCATTCTCAACACATTGTTTTTTTTAGCTTTTAGATGAACAACTTATTAGTGTTTGTTGGTTATTGTGAATGTTAGATATGCAAGCAAAAGACAAAATTTTAAAAATAACATTGTTTATAAATTTATTATTTTAAATAAATGCTCAAAAAATGAAATTTTTTAAATAGACAAAATCACCATGCCAACTGCTGATTTTACCACGTCAACATGCAAAATCGCTTGATGAGGTGGTGATTTTTCTTTGCCACGTCAGCAGGCACAATCGCTTGTTGAGGTGGCAATTTTGCAAAAAAAAAAAAAAAATTATTGAGGATAATTATGTATTAATACTATTATATTTGTAAAACATTAACACCAAATCCATTTAACTCATTTGGTAGAGTACATGGCTCCTAACTTTGTGGCATAGGTTCAAGCCTCATGATGGTTCTTTTTTAGAGGCATAATGTTTGCTTAATTATTCTTTGAAATTATTTAATTTAACATATAAATTAAAATTATATAAAATTTATTAAAAATTATAATCTCAATTAAATTTTTAATAAAAAAATTAAATATCAATATTATAAAAATAAATTAACTTTAATTATTGAAATTTTCATTTAAATTTACCTCGAAAAATAAATCAATCTTTCATGCTAATTTGTGTCAAATAATAATTTTAAATATATTTAGTTTTTAAAATTGTTGAATACAAATTTAAATTACGCAATTTTTATCCATTAAAAAAATTAAATATTACAGATAAATTGTATTATGAAGCAAATCCTGTTAAATTAACAAGATTGTTTTTCTCAGGTCAATTTAATGATTTATATTGATTAAATGAAAATGATTTTTCTAAGGGATTTGGTCAATAATCAAAATTATATTTTTTTGTTTTCTGCCAATCTCTTTAACAAATCACAAAATTATTAGTTACATTTAATTATTATATTTAAATTCAACATTATAAAAATGATATGATTTATTTTATAGATTTGTTTCACATTATAACTTAATTATAGCAAATAAAAAACACATGTTTTACAACTTTAAATATTAAATAATTAAAAAAAATAATTGAACAAAAGTTATGCATCTAGAAAACACCCATCATGGGGCTCGAACCCACGACCGCAAAGTTGGGTTTTGTACTCCACCAACTGAGCTAAATGGGCTTGGTGTTATGGCTTTTTAAAAATAAGAATAGTAATATATAAGCATCCTCAATTAATCTTTTTTTTTTTTTTTACAAAACGTGGCACAATCGTCTGCTAACATGTTATTTTTTGTGTGTTTATTTAAAATTATAAATTTATAAAAAATAGTATTTTAAAAATTTTTCCTGGACAGAATAGTCATCTTTATTACAAAGATTGTTACTGAGATTCTTGGTTAAGATAATTTGTGTAAAGGCTAAAGGAATTTGGAGTTAAGAGCAGGGAGCTAGTAAGAAAATAATTTGGAGTTAAGAGCAAGGAGCTAGTAAGAAAATAAATGTACTTTAAGGAATGATGAATATTAGGGAGACATAACAGATATAAGGATGCTGAAAATTTTAGGAAGTGAATTTAAAAAAACGGATTAACAATGTAACTTCTGATGATTTATATGGTAGGATAGTTCTTAAAGGGAGGAAAATAGGATGAAAATTTTTAAATAGAACCAGAATTTTGTTTTTTAGTTTTGCTATATTAAGAATGACAGTGATTGTTTTTCATGAAATTAAACAATGCAATGAGTGATTCTTAAAAAATATTAAATGAAAACATTAACATGGATTTATTTTTTCAGAGAAGATAATTTGGAGTTTTTAAATTTACTTTGGTGTATTGTTACATATAAAATTTAACTTTTATTTTTTATGACGTACTTTGTAAATTTTTGAGATCTGATGGGATACTTGTTAGGCTTTAGAAAGGTAGAAAAGACAAAAAAATATCATATGAAATTCTAAACTATAAGATGATGCCATGATTGGAAGAAAAGTAATTTTAATCTATAATTAAAATAAAAAAAAATAGAATTATGGTAGTTGTTGAAAGATCAAGCTTTTAAATTATACACGCAATATCTGAGAGAGTGTGCTTTAGGGAAAGGAGGGGTAGGGGTTGGGGTGTGGGAGAGAAGGAATCCCATCTACATAATTTGATCTAGTGGATGATCAATTTGTCTCACAAATAATCTGTATTCATTCAATCATCAATAGCCAATCAAAAAAAGCCACAAATTCATATATATGGAAATATGGTTATAATTATTAGATCCAAAATTTAATATCTATTCTAATCAAATATTTAAATTAAAATTTATTGTTATCCAAATATGATAATAAAAAAAAGAAAATAAATAAAATTCAGACATATAAAAATTCCTTAAGGGGGCATGGAAATGGATTTGGTTCAATCCCATTGAAGCTTCGTTTGATTAATTCTAATTGATTTATTATGGCTAATTGAACTTTTGTGAGTTGATTTAACTTGAATAATTGGTTATATTACACAAACTTCCGCATAGTGCAATGAACTCTCCTTTGGAGAGTTAGTTTTTATGTAGTCATCCAAGAGTTTAGGTGGTAGTTTCTCCTATTTATTCTTGTTCATCCATGCATAATTTGAGAAATGCTTTCCTTTCCGCTTTGCCAGAAATGCTCAACATTTTTTCATACTCTAAATTTTCCTTTTGTCCTAAATGACACCCTTAACACCGAAGTTGGTAGGTAAAACCTGTTTAATATGCTAATTGGAGGCAACGACAATCGTAGGAACTCCTCCTCTAGGAATCTACAAACAATTATCGAGCTTCCAACATTATTTGATAAGATAATATATCTTCAATAATGAAAATAGGACTTATAATTATATTGGGAGGCAAACCTAAAACATAAGCATTATAGCTTATTTTCCTACGTATTTAGAAAGGACTAATATGCTCTTATATGTAATATCTTGTATTTGGTTTGCATAAAGCATTAAGGATGCATATGAATCACGAGGAAGTCACCTTTATTATACTCTCAGGAACTTATTACCTAATGTGCTCTTATAAAATTGTTCTTATTACTATTTAAAAGCGAGATTGCCCACATAATAACTTAGATTTTGAGCTAGTTACTTGTTATCAACAATCCTCAAAGTCATAGAAGACTAGTTCACCTCTCTTTAAACAAAGTTTTTAATTCTATTTTAATCAGTTCTAAAAAACTAAACATAATGTGAACCATACAGCCCAAGTAATAATCAGATCAACTTAGTTCTTATTAGCCTGATGCATCTTCTCATTTTCAATTTCTCAAGACAATGATTGCATATAGACATCTTTTGCCAATTTACATGTATGGGTTAGTCAATATAATTAACTTATCGAGCATGATAAATGAATACTCTATTTACTATACTTGATTATATTTTTTTTCAAGTCCCAATGTATATTAAGCTTGTCAATCACCGACTCCTTTTAACTAATATTTTAATAATTGAATTTAATCTTCTGGATGAGTTGCCAATACCATATTATATGCAATTTACCCTACCAGTCTTTCACACTACTTTCAAACCATAGGAATTGAAATCTTAAGTTAGATTTATCATTTTGATCCTCATATTTAGCACAACCCTAAACTCTATCCATTTCTAACCAGCATGCTCATATAATTCTTCCTTAATCCTTCTATAAATAGCTTGCACAGGACAATCCGTACTTAGGGTTCAGATGCTATCATTATTGTGCCATGGGCCCATTTGTCTATCGAAAGGTGAGGATTCACCATCATTGATTGAAATGAAAGGATAAAGGAAGACATAAGAATTATTTCTTATATACTGTATAATAGTTATTGCACCATTATTTTATCGTAAATGGGAATTTTTGTTGTGAATCGATTTGATCTCCTAATTTGTTCCACAAATAATTCTATTATTTATCATTTAGTTTTTTGTTATTTTAATTAAATATCCTTTTTAACAGAATTTAATTTGGATGAATTGATTATTAACTTTAATCACACATTAATGGTTCCTAATTAGCTAGTACTTGAGGAATTTTGGGTCATTACATTAATGTATCACAAGACTACAAAAAAAAATGTGAATAAATTCTCTTGGTAACATATAATGCTGTAGTATTTATAAATTTGAATCTGGGCTTGATCAGAAGTACATTTGCTTTGCCTGGACTCGTTCAACGCATATTAAAGGAGGCGAGTAGGTGATTTTCTTGGCTAAGAATGCCACCTATATTAATTTCACAGGCAATACTTGATACGTCATAGACTTCTTAACTAATTTCATGTCAACTATAGCTCTCCCAAATGGCCTCCAAGAGAAGTGCTAATTTTGCCAAATTCGACTATGCAAAATACCACATCAACAAATCAGCATCACATAAAAATAATCACAATTTAACTTTTAAAAGTGAAATACACTTTTTCATGAATAGTTTTATGACACTGAAGTGTTATAAAATATCAAACTTTAGGCTTTAGCTATGTAAATACAATAATTCTGTGGTATGCATGTAAATTTCTCTTAAGTTCATTGTTTTATTTCTTTTTGATATATTATTCTGATCGTCAATTGCAGTTCACAATCAGACTTGGAAGCTAATCTTTTTAAGGTATCTTCTCATGGACTATTAATCCCATTACGTTTGATAATCATGTTTCTGTTTTTCCATAAGACTGGTGATTAACTTTAGTACATTCATGGTGCCCATTTTCCTCGTTTCGGAATATATATATATATATTTTTATCTATTTATATTTCAACTATTGAAACTTGATTTCTAAAGTTTAATCCAGAACTCGAATCTCGCTATTACCTGCTGTTTTGATTATGTGCATTCATTTATATTTTCAACTACTAATATACAGGAATGCTATCAATTTTTTATTATTGCGAGTGACATGATACTTTGTTTTCTTCTCTTAATTTTTGATTTTCAGAGGTTTTATTTGTTTTACATCCTATACGTGTGGTGAAATCTGTTGCTTTGAGCTGCAAACCATAAGGAGCACTTTTACAGGAAATTATGAATTTTCTTAATTTTTATCAGTATTTGAGCAGAAATCTGTGATCAAGAGGCGGTGATTGTCAAATCTGTTTTCTTCATCTATAATAGGTCTGAGATCTTTGAATTTTTTTTTTTGAAAAAAATAATAATTCCGAATTATTGCAAGGCAAGAAATAATATTATTTTTTTAGCTTAAGAATCCTTTTTTTCTTTCATTTTTATTTCCTCTTGACCATCATGAAAATATATTTTTCATGTATGACATTCCTTGCAACTATGATTTCAAAGAATTCTTTTTCTCGTATCGTGAAACAGTTATAGAAGTTAGTCCATGAAACTAATATTAAGATATGATCTTACAATATAGATACTCTCACTGATAAATTAATAAAATTAGTTGATATTATGATTTATAGAAAGATAAATATCTTATGTGTTAAATAAACTAAATGGGTTGGACAAAATGCTAAGTAGATCGATAGCTTAGGTTTTAAACTTTGGTATTCAGGTAAGAGTCGCACTAGAAATGTTGCAGGTGTAATTATAGATAAGAGTTTGATAGATATTGTTATAAAAATGAATAGAGTTGAAGATAAAATTATAGCTCTTAAGATTATTATTTGATACTAAGATTTTTAATATTGTAAGCGCTTATGCTCCTCATGTTGGTTTAGTTGTAGGTTCTAAAGTAGGTTTTAGTTGTAGGTTCTAAAGATAAATTTTGGAATGACTTAGAATACTTAATATAAATGATACATCTTGAAGAAAAAATTTTGTTGGAGAAGCTTTAAATGGACATGTCGGTAGAGTAGTAGAAGATTTTAGAAATATTCATGGTGACTACAATTTTTGAGTGATTAATGAAAAAAGTAGAGTTATTTAGATTTTGCTTTAGCGTATGATTTTGTTCTTGTTAATACTTTATTCAAGAAAAGAGATGAACATATTATTACTCATAAGAATGGATCTAATAAAACACAAATTGATTATTTTCTTATGAGAAGAAGATATTATCGAGAATTTAAAGATTGTAAGGTCATTCCAAGTGATGATTTAAGTACTCAACATCGATTATTTGTTCTAGATTTTAAGATGAAGAGTTGTAAAAAAAAGAATACTAGAAATCATCATCGTAGAATTAGATAGGGGCACCTAAAAGACAAATAAAATTATATTTATTAGTAAAATTCAAGATTTCAAAATTTGGGATGTTCATGAAGAAGAAAATTCTATGTGAGATAAAATACCAAAAACTATTAAGCAAGTGACAAAAGTTTAGGGTGGACGAGTTATTTTGATAAACTTTTTAATGAATTTTTGAAAAATACGATCTATCTTTGTGATCTTAATATTGCTAATAATAATGTCGTATTAGTTAAAAAAAAATGAGAAGGCATTTAAAAAAATCAACGGTGGAACGTCTGTAGGACGCTTGTAAGACCTGATGATATCCCAATTGAAGTGTGGAAATATTTAGGAGTTTTGTGAGTTTCTTGGCTTACTAAACTCTTTATTATTATTTTAAAAACTAGAAAGATGTCTGAGGAGTGGAGGAAGAGTATTTTAATCCACTCTTTTAAGAATAAAGGAGATGCACAAGAGTATGAAAATTATAGAGGAATTAAGTTGATGTATCATTCCTTAAAATTATGGGAGAGGGTAATCGAACATAGGCTAAGACGTATTATAAAGATTTTTCATAATCAATTTGGATTTATGCCGGGCAGTTCTATTATGCAAGCTTTACATTTATTGAAAGGTTTGATGGAAAAGTTCATAGATAATAAAAAGACATATGATTTTTATTGATTTAGAAAAAGCTTACGATAAGGTTCCAAGAGATATCATTTGAGAGTTTTTGAGAAGAAAGGTGTTGATATGATTTATATTAAGTCATTAAAGATATTTAAACAAGAACTATTACTTGTGTTTGAGCAGAAGGAGGATTGACCAAATATTTTCCTATTTCTTTTGGTTTACGTTAGGGATCGACTTTAAGCCCATATTTTTTTGCTTTAATTATTGATGGTCTTATTGGACACTTACAAGAGGATGTACCTTGGTGTATGTTTTTTGCTGATGATATCCTTCTCGTGGATATGACGAGAGAAAAAGCTCAGAAAAAATTTGAATTATGAAGTTCTCCTTGGAGACTAAAGGCATTCGTTTGATTAGAACTTATACTGAATGCATAGAATGTAATTTTAGTAGTTGTAGCTCTAGTGACAAAAATATAACTATGGGTGATCAAATTATTAAAAGGTGCGAAAGCTTTAGATATCTCAGATCTATTGTTCAAAAAGATATGATATTGATGGGGATGTTATTAGTAGAATTCAAGTTGGTTGGTTGAAGTGGAGGAATGTCGCGGGCCCATTGTGTGATAGAAAAGTACCGCTTAAACTTAAAAGAAAATTTTATAAGATGGTGGTGAGACCTGCAATGCTGTATGGCGCTGAATGTTGGCCTCTAAAAGAGAAGCATAAAACTAAGTTAAGTGTTGCCGAGATGAGAATGCGAAATGAATATATTCGTGATAGGGTTGGTGTAGCTCCGGTGATGGACAAATTTAGAGAGAGTCGTCTTAGATGGTTTGGTCACATTAAATATCGACCATCTGATGATTCGATTAAAAGAGCAGATGTTTTAGATTCGACTTATGTAAAGAAAGACAGAGGTAAACCTAGGAAGACTTGGGCATATTGCATAAAAAATGATCTTAATTTATTATAATTAAATGAAATATGACACTAAATAGGACGCAATGGTGAAAAAGAATTCATGTAGCCGAGCCCACTTAGTGGGATAAAGGCTTTGTTGTTGTTGAAACAGTTATAGAAAATTGAGTTCTAATTGTTGTGTATGAAGTTGATATCTACACGTAGTAATAAATTTGACTGAAGCAAATCTGATTCAGCCAAATTGAACTGATCTTACTATAATAGTCTAGCTTTTGGTGTTATTGGCTAGTTTTTGTTAATATGGCTCGGTTAGGCCTACAATTAGACTAGTGATTCAGCTAATCAGGTTTGGTATTAGAAAAAAATTAGGAATTGAAATTTGGCTGCAGCTCAGTTGATGATGTGGTTGAGCTAGTAGCATGGTCTCGGAAGACTAATTAGTGTTTTTTGTTTGGGGTTGAACCTACTACCTAGTTTGATTTATATTTTTGCATGAGAAAAGTGTCAAGATAGTCCTTTGACTATTTGCAGGGGACATTTTGGTATCAGTCTTTCAAAGATTGTCAAAGTACTCTCTTAAAACTTTAGGTTTGAAATTTTCTCTCAGTTAAAACTAATGCAACTTGATTTTATAATGTTAAAGATGATGGTATTCTTGAATTTATTTTTATATTTTTAATTTTTAAGTAAATCTAATTCATTACTAACTTTATTTTATATCCATTATGATACAATTCATGAACTTTTTTTTTTTGATAAGATGCTAAATTTTAAATTTATATATTAATTTTAATATTTTTTTTTCACATGACTAAAATGTATTTTTTAGTTGATATAAGATATGTATATTTAGAATTACTTAATCTTATAAATTTTAATTGACTAAATCTTTTTTACAGAGATTGCAAAGCTATTATACATGTTCATTATTGCATACTTGTAAAAATTATATTTTAGTCTTTTGAAAAAATAATAAATTTAAGATCTTAACATATCAAAAAAAAAAAAACATCACGAATTTCATTGCAGTAGAATTACAGTATGGTTAATAATGAATTCAATTTATTGAAAAATCAAAATAAAAATATAATTTCTTAGAATACCTTCTAAATATCAATTTTCATTAATTTTAACTTAGATTGTTGCAACAACTATTTAAAGAGTTGGGGGGACTATTTTGATAATTTTTTAGAGTGTAAATAGTCGGAGGGAGACCTTTTTTACTCTTTTCTCATTTTTGTATTGTGGCATATATGTTATTGAATATCAATGTTTAGAAGTGGGGAATTGGGTATTGAGGCATTTTTCATTCTTGAGGCGAGACGTAAGCCTTGAGGCAGTATGAGGTGTAAGCCTCACAATTTGAAAATTTCTTAGTCAAAATAAATGGATAAAAAAATATCTTCATAAGCTATAAATATATGAAAAAAATATATTCGCATCATAACATGATAAAAAGTGATAAATTGCACAAAATATATAAGTAATACATAAAATAAGTTTAGCTTAAAGGACTTTTCACTCCTATTATCTAACATAGTATCATCCATAGTTGTAAATAAGATAAAAAGCATTAAAATTCTCAACAGTCTCATCATTTATTGAGTCTTAATTGGAATCATAATCATAATGTGTAGCTTTTTCCTCTGCTTCTTTATAAGTTGAGTTTATGTTCTCCCATTCTTCTTCAACTTCAGTTATCTTTTCTTACCCTATTCAATTATAAAACATTAATTGATGAAAAAGTTGAAAATTAATTTTTAAGAAAATGTCATACTTTAATTTTTAAAATACATTTTCTTTTTATCTGTTGTTGTTTACTGTTGGATGTGCTACCTTTGTGCCTGACACCCTAAGAGAAATTAAAGTTCAGATCTTTTTATTGTAACTCAATTGTTGTGACTACTTTATCCTCATCTATATAATCACTCATCATCTGATGACATATCTTCACATAAAGGAGGATTCTCATTATCTTTCAAATATTTTTTTTCTATACTTCTATCTTTCTTTTCTTGTTGCACATGATATACACCAAAGGATTCATCCTTAAGGTTGCTAGATAGTTTCTCCTTTTTTTATGACTTTGATTTTATGCGCTCCAATTATGCTCATAACTAGAGGATGAGCATATAAGTCATAGTACTTTAATATCAAACCGTTGTAGCTCTTGAGTACTATAGCCAAACTGAATCCACCATTCAACCATATTTGAAAAAAAAATATGTAATTAAGAATAAAAAATAGTTGTTAGATACTCAATACTTGTTTTAATGAACATATGAAATTTTAAAACTTTACTCGGAGAGCATTTTGTGATAGTATCTTTAGCTTAGTTAGCCCAAAGAAACCTTTCTTATTTCTAAGCGGAACAAGCTACATAGCTTCAGCTGCTCTCTCGTTTGAGTCCGTAATCAAGATATAGATTTAACTTGATCTTAGGATTTGTGGATTTGTTCTCAGTATATTGAAATTGAAGGTTGAGGAAATATCCAGTTAGATGCAAATGACTTTGGAGTTGAAGCTCTCATTTTTCATCAATAATATCTCAAGTCTCTCTATAAGTGCCTTTTTCTCCTCCTAGGTTATGTGCTTTAACTTCTTGGCCTCATCCATTGTATTATAAATAAAACCAATAGCTGTCTTCTTCTCTGCATCCACCATTCTTAAGATTTGTACTAATTACCGAGTGGTTTTTAATACTTATTGCGATACTATACCAAAACCTTTCATTTAAAATAAATTTTTTGATTTCTTCTCTCAAAATTTTTAGCTCACATACAACTAAGCCAATTAGTGGAAGTGAACATTGGTTTCAATGGTTTTTTAACTTTAAATATACTTTGTAGAGTCAAAAAGGTTGTAGCAAAGCTAGTTGCAACAGGGCGTATTCTTTTTTAGAGAACTTTTTCATTAAAGACAATACCAAAGATTGATTGTAAACGAATTTACGTATCTTCTTGGCTTTCTTCAGAACAGTTTTTGTTGTGACAAATCTCTATTCTTCTCTAATACCAAGTCAATTCAATGTGCAACACAAGGTGTTCAATATAAATGCTTTCTCTTTTCCATCAATTTATTTCCAGCTGTCTTATAAGCACTTGGCATTATCTGTCACAATCTGAACTACCAAATACTTTCTAATTTAATCCATCACTCTATCAAGTAGTCCTAAAATGTACTTTGCATCCTTCATCTGATCATAAGCTTTTACAGATTTCGAAAAAATAGTGCCACATGAATTGTTGATTAGAAGATTAATCAAGCTTCTATTCTTTATGTCTGAGCACCCATCAGACATGATTGTAGCTCGAGTCTGACTCCAAGTCCTTTTAATATCTTCTATGCTTTTCTTTGCATTACTCAACTCCTCTTTTAATACTTATATTCTCAAGTCATACATAGATGGGGATTTCATGCTTCGACCATATGCACCAATATAACATGTCATGTTAAAGTAAGAAGATGTTTCCATGTTGAATGTAATAGCATTCTCATAAAAAAATCTCCCAATATCCATATAGACACATTTGCATGCCTCTTTAACATTCTCTGGAGACATCTTCTGAGCTTCAGTTGTCCCCTCTCCACAATCCCTATCATCCTTCATATTCAACATATATTAATCCAAGGGCCCTCTAACATCTTTTCTAAACATTAGTTATAGAGATGATGAGGAATCCTTGGCATTGTGCTCACTCTCATAGCAAGAGCCGACATCAATTCTATTATCAAATTGTTGTTGTGCAATATGCTTAAACATTGTTGACTTTTTCATATAAGACTTGTTTGCGTGCTTCTCTAACATGCTCTTGAGACATCTTCTGAGCAACAGTTGTCCCCTCTCCATGACTTTTATCATCATCCACATTCAACATAAATTGATCTAAGGGATCTTTAGCACCTTTACTAGATCAGTTGTAGAGATGATGAGGAATCATTGGCACTGCACTCATTCTCATAGTAAGAGCCAACATCAATTCTATTATTTAATTGTTGTTGTGCAAGATGCGCAGACATCATTGATTTTTTCATATAAGATTGAACCTCCTCTTTGACTACTTTTGGCATTTTAGCGCACAATGCCGTATTTTTATGTGAGCATGAGAGTCGCTTCTTCTTCCTTGTAATACCTCTTTTAACTAGCTTGTTGCAATAATTGCATTTTAAGTAAATATTCTTATCGTTGCCTCCTACATCAACTTGCTTACCATGCTTCTACACTGGATGTTTTCGATTGCCCGATATGGATTTCTCATTGCCACTAATCATTTCTCACAAAATTTGAAAACAATGTAATGAAAGTTTGGTTTTAAATTCAAGCAATTTGGAAATTTAAAGCTAATGCAAATGTTAAAATTCAGCCCTAAAATGTAAGAAATCAATCTGATAGAAAATGCCTTATAGGCAATTAGACATTCAAACTCATGACTAAAAATGCCACCCAATTCTTATATATCTACTATTCAACACTTTATAATAACTTTCTGGAGGTTATACAACTTTTATCAGACAAAAAATCCCATATCTATAACAAATTCCTTATAGGGAGATTTACATACAATCATACATACCACTCAATAGTCAATTCCAATGTATAACACCTAAATTTTGATCAACATTTTATATAAGGACATTTGCAAACAAGATAACACACAATTTTAATGTATTTACATATCTCACTCCTAAACTCATTTATTATATTTATACCACTAGATATTTCATTTCACATCAAAATTACTACAATTTTTAACTTTTAAAATGCAAATTACATATCTTTTCATGCATTGGTAAGGTGTTATGTATGCAAAAATTGAAGTTTAGATTTTAGTAGTAAAAAGATAAGAATTCAATGGTATGTAAAACAAGTAAATAATTAAACCCTAGATGAAATATAATTATTAAGTGGTATTTATGTAAATCTTCCAAAAGTTCAATTATTTAAGGGAAGCTTAGTAATTGGGGCTGTGGAGTGTGGGAGCACGATACCAATTAAAACCAAATAGAGATGAAAGTGTGCGAGCGTTGATCTCATTTTTAGTGCGGTCTTTTCTTCTCTCTTCTTAGAGTCTAGGGTCTAGCCTTAAGTTCTCCCTGTTCGGATTTATTTTACTTGGGTTACAAGTTTCCTATAATGACAAACCCCTATAATTAAATAAATCCGAATGTGAGTTTTAAAACCTTGTAGATGGCCATGGTTACTAAAACTGAATATTCTAACCATCATATCACATCCAAATTGGCAGAAACCCCCTTGGCAATGTTGCACTCGTTCCGTGGACTAAACTATAAACTAGTCAATGTTTCTTTTGCAAATCTAATAACTAAATACTGCAAGTAGTAGGCCACTGTAGGAATAACATTTTAGCCAGTTAAATCAAATCATTACATACTGGTACTGTTTGGTTACTATTTTCTTTTTTCAGCTCATGGAGAGACGGGGATATGGAGAAGAGTACATTAATCGTTATAAGATGATGACCAGGTTATTTTTAAAGTTTTATGTTTATCCTATAACTTGGATTATCTTCATGTTTCAATATCATATTTTATCTGACATCCTCTTTCTGCACTCATGTCTGCGATTTGTATGAATCACATAATGCCTTACTGAAATGATATAAGTTTTCAGTTTGGAGTTTATATATCTTGTTCTTCGATTTTTTGTGTATAAAGTATTACAGGATAATTCGTTAGTAGTATAATGCTGATAGTTTATAAATATTCGTGTTTCTTAATCAGGTAAGCTAGGAATTTATCAGTGTTGTATCATACCTATTTCAATCTTTCCTTTTATTTTTTTTAATTACAATTGGAGTCCTTGGCATTGCTACCTTGTTCATTTACATTCGTTTGAAGTTTACACATTACCGGCCTTAACATTTTATTGGCACTAGTCTCACACAACCTTGCATTGCATGGAAGAATGATGAAACCAAAATGTAAATTACGATTAATTAAATTTAATTGAACTATACTAGAAATTAAATTTTAATTTGTGGGGAGATAATGATAACCATCCATATTTTATTAAATTTGACTCTTAAAAAAATCAATTGAATTAGTAATATATCAAATGTAATTGGTTAGAGGAATCATATGATATAATTAGATTGGGTGCTATATAATAGTTACTAAATGCCCTTTGTATGCTTTGTTTGTCTGTTCTTTTTCTTTAGCATGTTTATAGCTTGTGCTGATCCCCATGTTGTTACTAATAATGGAGGATCTTTAAAGATGTTTTTTTTGGGAAATTTACGCACATAGAACACAATTCTTTTGTATTTACATATCTAACTCCCAAAATTTAATATTTACACTTATAACACCTTGGCATCATCCACCTATGCATGAAAAGTGCATTTCAATTTTAAAACGATACTAATGATGATTTTTTTTTGCGATGTTAAATATTAGAGTGGCATGCATGTAAATGTGAATGTTTAGGTGTTATATATGTAAATACATAAGAATTGTGTTATATATATATATATATATATATAGACATACAT